TGCAATTAGGATGCCACCTCCAGCATGGCGGTCGCCAAGCCGGAGACAAGGAGCCCTGGAGGCTCTGTGGGAGAGGAGAAGAGAGGGGTACCCAGGGAGCCGCAGCACTGGGCCAGCAGCAGGGCCTGCCACCTATCACATATATGCTCAAACCACACACAGACAAGCACATCTGTACACATATACACATGCATGCACATATACACAGACCCACATGCATGCACTTATACACCCATACACATACATGCATATACACATACACAGTCACATGGAGAAACATGCATGCATGCACACACATGCGCATATAGACACCCACATGCATGCACTTATACATAGACCCACATACACACATACATAACCACATGAACATACTCACATGTGTGCATATGGACACACATGCACCTATATATACACCCACATGCATGCACTTATACATGAACCCACACACATATACACACATACGTATGTAGCCACATGGGCAAACATACATGCACACATACACACATGCATACACATATACGTGTACCCACATATCATATGTGTGCATACACGTGTGCATAGCCACATGCACATACACATGCACATGCATATACTCAATGCATATACACACATGTATGCATATAAACACCCACATAACAATACATGCATACACATATATACTCAGAGACACACTGACACACTTATACATACGTGTGCACCCATATACCCACAGATACATACACACATGTGTATAATACACTCACATAACACATATATGCATGCATACGTATACACCCACATATACAAATACACATACACATGCATAAAACACACATAAACATGCATGCATATATGTACATATCCACCCATGTAACATATCTACACATGTATATCCATGTATGCACACATGGACACGTGTACATGTGCATGTGTATATGGTCGCATGCACACATATACATATATAGAGAGAGATAAACATGCACATGCATGCATGCAGGTATACACACTCACATGGCACATGCATACATATATTACACCCATATGCATAGACATACACATGCATGTATGTACACATACATCCACGTACATGGATGCACATATACACAAAAACATGACTAGCACACATGTATGCTTATGCACATATGCATGCATGTGTATATACATACACAACACGGGTGCCCAGGAATGCCAGTCTTCACCATGGAGATAACACTAAGACAGGCCCTGTGAGTGCTGGCCCTAGTGCCAGCCTGGCCTTCCCAGGTCCTGGGCTCCAGGACAGGGTGGGGTCCCTGCCTTCTAGGGAAGGCGATCTGGTGAGACCATCCTCCTAGGAGGCCTGCACACCCTGGTCCTCTAACTGAAGACCAAAGAGAAAGGGTGGAGCCAGGAGAGGCCTGAGAGCACCCCTCCACTAGGACCAGGCCCCACACGGGGCCTGGCCTCAGGGCCCAAAGCAGCTTTCCCGGGACCAGACTCCAGCCCGAAAGACCAGACCACAGCACAAGTGTGTCTGTGTGCAACGGGCAGGTCAAAAGTGCCCTGAACTGGCCCACAGGAGGGAGCCTGGGGCAGCAGTGCCGGGGGGGGAGGGGGGGGGCTGTGAAGTGCAGAGACTTCTCTCCAGCAGCTGAACTGAGCTGGAAGTCATGCGCCTGCAACTCACACGGTTGAACTGTGCAATCCCAGAGTGGTTAGCACACGGCTGTAAACACTTCATCCGCAAAGGGGAACCTTCACTTCCTGTTTCCCCATCCTCCTTCCTCATCCCTCCTTCTTCCAGCCCCTGGCGACCTCTGACCTTCTCTCCATCTCCAGGATTCACTCAGTCTGGACATTTGACATACATGGAGTTATATGGTGCGGCCCTTTGCGCCTGGCCCCTTCCACCAGGCACACCGCTCCCAAGGCTCACCTACGTCATCCTTCTCTTTTTGGCTGAATGGATAAAGCACATGTCATAGGTCACCACCATGACTGATACATGGGTTCCCACTGGGAGCTGTTTAAATGTTAAATGCCGCTCTGGACATCACACTATGTGTCTGTGTGGACACAGGTGTTCCTACCATCTACCTAGGGGTGCAATTGCTGGGTGAGACGGTGTCTTAGTTCTAGGGCTGCTCTAACAAATACTGCAAGGCAGTGGCTTCAGCAAACACAGTTCTTCTCTGGCAGCTTGGGAGGCTAGGGGTCTGCATCCAGGGCCTGGCTCTGGTGAAGGCCTGGCCTCTTCTGAGCTGCTGCACCTGGGCCAGCTTCATGTGGCCTCTCTCCCACCCCCATCTCTGCATCTCTCACTTGTCTAATCACTTTCATATCTCAAAAGGGACTGATTTAAGACACAAACAATAACCAAATCTACTGCCATCAAGTGACTCCCACTCATAGTAACCCAAGAGGACAGAGTAGAACTGCCTCGTTGGGTTTCAGTCTTTACAGAAGCAGACTGTTGCATCTTTCTCCCAGGGAGCTGCAAGTGGGTTCCAACCACCGACCTTTTGGTTACCAGCCCCACAGCACCACCAGAGCCCCTGATTTAAGACACACCCTAGACTGATTGCTTAAGAAGCTCTAGTGGTGCAGTGGGTAAGGCATCTGGCTGCCAACCAGAAGGTTAGTGGTTCAAGCCCACCAGCTGCTCTGTGGGAGGAAGATGAGGCAAGCTACTTCTATAAATCTACTTCTAGTCCTTGAGGACTAAGGTGCACCTGACACAAGCCATGGTATTTTCGGTCACCTCATGGGCATGTGAGAGCTGGACAATGAATAAGGAAGACCGAAGAGTTGATGCTATTGAGTTGTGGTGCTGGTGAAGAATACTGAACATACCGTGGACTGCTAAAAGAACTAACAGGTCTGTCCTGGAGGAAGTGCAGCTGGAATGCTCCTTGGAAGCGAGAATGGCCAGCCTTCGTCTCACCTACTGTGGTCGTGCCGTCAGAAGGGGCCATTCCCTGCAGAAGGGCGTCATGCTTGGTAGGGTGGAGGGTCAGCGAAAGCGACCAAGGCCCTCAACAGGATGGGCTGACCTGGTGGCTGCAGTGGCCGGCTCAGGTACAGCAGGGATTGGGAGGCTGGCCCAGGGCCAGGCAGTGTTTCATTCTGTTGCACATAAAGTCTCTATGAGTCGGAGATGACTCAATGGCACATAACAAAAGCAACAACTTCTATAAAGATTGACAGCCTTGGAAACTCAGTGGGGGTCACTGTGCGTCAGAATCTGAGGACCCGTGGATGGCAGTGGGTTTGGGTGTTTTGGCCCTTTACACTAGTCCTATCTCACTGACATAAGAAAGCCGACCCAGGCGATGAGGTTAGACCTGACCCCACATATATGGGGAACACGGTTCAGTTGGTGACAGATGGTAGCCGTGGTGACACATCTGTGGAACTGCTGCACTGTCTCAGTGGCTGCAAAGTGTCAGGGCCTGGTTTTCAGCAGGTCCTCACCAACCCTTGTTTTACCCCCCACCCCCACTCCACCCCACCCCCGTTTTTAATGAAGCCATCCTTTTGGGTGTGAAGTTGTCTGGTTTCCAACTCTGGTAGCCCTGTGGTTAAGGCAGTGGGCTGCTCACCAAAAGGTGGCAGATGGAACCCACCAGGTGCTCTGTAGGTGAAAGGTGAGGCCATCTGCCTCTGCGGACAGTGAGAGCCTGGGAAACGCCGCGGGGCAGGGAACCAGTCGGCGCCGAGGGGCTCTGGAGTGACACTGAGCCTCTCTGCCTGGGCTGTGTTGGCTCTCGGTGCATCTTGAAGACCTGAGTCAGGTCTTTGCCGTGGCTCTGGACTTTGCAAGTGCTGGTGACAAGTCCTCTCCGAGGAGCAAACGGCCCCCGGAAGCTGCCCCTTGGGGGAGCCAGGCTCCCGGCCGGCCCCTCCGGCCCCTTCCCAAGCCTGCGCGCGGCGGGGGAGTTTCCGGGAAGGCGCGCAGCTGCGTCAGGTCGCAGGTTTCACTTTTGAACTCGGGCATCTGCAGCCCGCAGTCGCGGCTCGGCACCCAGACGGCACGCGTCCCCAGCCGGTAGCCTCGGTTCGCTCCGTGCGCCCGGACCCCTCTGGCGACCCGGTCACGGTGAGCCTGCCCCGACCACGTCCAGCCTAGCCCCGCGACGCCCCGGCCGCCAGCTCACCGCACCTCGCCTCGGGCTCCCGGCTCAGGGTAGGGCCGCCCGCTGGCAGAGTGGGCGGCCGGGCGGGTCGGTGGAGCTGCTCCCAGCACCCACAGGCCTCCTCACGTTGCCCATCCCAGGCTCCAGGCAGGCTGTTCCCCACAGAACCGACTAGGCTGGGTTGGCCTGGGAGCCAGCCCTCCGGGCACGGCCCCCACCCTGGCCTCTCCAGCGCAGGCCCTCTGGCTCTCACCCTCCGGTTGCTCAGGATGCCGGGAGGCCTCCTGGGTCCTGGGTCAGGCCCCCGTGAACCCCTGACCCCTCGGCCCCATGGGCTCCCGCACATAGAAGGCCATGCGAGCCAGCTTGCTGACTTCCAGTGGTTGGGCTCCTGTGTCCTTCAGAGCCTCCCACTTCTCAGCCAGGAAGCAGCTGCATGAGCCCTGCCCTCAGGGTGGCCCTGCCCTCAGGGTGGCCCTGCCCTGCCCGTCCCTGGTGACTGATTGCCCAACATGTCCTCAGCCACTGGCTGCTGAAGTGTGCTGGCAGGGAGGAGGCCTGGGTGGGTGAGGCCGAGGCCGGGCCTCTTGGTGTCCCACAGGCCCTCTGGCCATGGAGCACATGTGTGAGTGGCACTGTCCAGGCAGAGGTCTAGCTGTGGGCTATGAGTGCAGTCTCCCTCAGGGTGGCCGTAGCCCCCTGGGGCAGTGGATAAGGGCCAGCCGGGTGGGCACACTGTGTCAGCAGGGGTCAGGCAGGGGCTTCTGCCAGTCAGCGTGACCCAGGACTGCAGGGCAGGGCTGCTTTGCAGGGCAAGAGCTCCCCATCACAGGAGGCACCGGCCTGCCCTTCTCTGCTCTTGCAGCCTGCAGGTCCCGTAGCTGACCCTGCCCTCCTCACGGCATAATGTCAGCCTTCGAGAGCGTGGCCCAGGCCGTGGTCCAAGAGCTGGACCGCGGTGGGAGCCTCATCCCCGTGGACAGCCTGCGGAGCTCCACGAGCTTCCAGCCCTACTGCCTGCTGCACAGAAATCCCTCCCGCTCCCGGTTCTGGAAGCCGCGATACTTGCGTGTCAACCTGTCCATCTGGGACATCCTGGAGCCCAGCACCCCGGAACCAGGTACCCAGCGGGGCCAGGAGGGAAAGGGAGCGGGCAGGGCCACCCCAGCCTCTCTGAAGGCCCCGTGGCCGGCCCCATGCTCTCCCCGGGGGCGAGGCGCGCGCTGGCAGGCCTCAGCTCTGCTCTCTCCCCAGCCGTGCACTGCAGCGCCTCCGTCCACTTCCACGATGCTGTGGACGGGCAGCTGCAGGGCAACGTGGAGCTGGGGGGCCCCGCTCAGGGCAAGCTGGCCGGTGGGGCCACCGTGGCCCGCAGCTCCAGCGCCTCCATGGACGTGTGTGTGCTGCATGTGGACTCCAGCACCTGGGAGACCCTGCAGCGGGAGAGGTGGGCCCGGGCGGGGGCTCCTGGGGCCAGGACTCCTGGGCCCTGAGGGGTGGGGGGACTGGCTTGGTAGAGTGGGAGGGCCTGTGCGGCAGAGGCCTGTGCAGGGAGAATCCAGAGGCCGGAGTGCTAGGGCCCGGCCTGAGCGAGGAAGGCAGGCAGCTGGGAGTGAGGCTGCAACTTGAAGGCCCAGGAGCCAGGCAGCTGGGAGGGGAGGGGTAGGTACCAGAGGGACCAGGTAGGGTGGAGAGGGGCCAGACGGGAAGGGGAGGGGCCAGATGGGGAAGGGGAGGAGCCAGGTAGGGGACGGGCCAGGTGGGAGGGGTGGAACCAGCTGGGGGAGGCAGGGAGCCAGGTGTGAAGGGAGGAACCAAGTGGGGGGGAGGAGCCAGGCAGGAGTAGGGGAGGAGCCAGGTGTGTGTGTGGGGAGGAGCCAGACAGGGGAGGAGCCAGGTGGGGGACAAGGAGATGTGGGGTCTGAAGAGGCTGGAGCGGATGGAGGCTGGGAGTTTTGCCACCTTAACCCCGGGCGGGGCAGTGAGAGGGTAGGGAGCAGCTCAGGGGCACCTCCCTTGACCTCGCTCCCCCTCCCTGCACACCCTGTGCCCGCAAACACTGTCAGGAACACCCCAAGTGGAATGTCCTGTGCCTGGGTGTCCCCAGAGCACCATGGCTTCATGGCCTTACTTGGCAGGCAGGGAGATGGAGGCTGGGGCAGCAGCCAGCCTGACCTAGTGCAGAGATGGCCCTGTGGTGGGTGGGGGGCAGGAAGTGCCTGGGCAGAGCCTAACCGGACCCCCCTGCCCCTCCTGCCGCAGGCGTGTGCGACAGCCCGAACACAAAATCCTGCAGCAACTGCGCAGCCGCGGGGACGACGTGTACGTAGTGACAGAGGTGCTGCAGACGCAGAAGGAGGTGGAGGTCACCCGGACGCACAAACAGGAGGGCTTGGGCCAGTTCGCACTACCAGGGGGCTTGTGCATACAGGTGGGAGACTGGCCCGAGGGGGCTTGCGAGGAGGGAGGGCACGGCTCTGCAGGTCCTGACACCCCCCCAGGGAGCCTGGCTGCCCTTGCTGAGGGTGGCTGCTCCCAGTGGCACCCTGCCTGCCCTCCAGCACCCACAGCCCAGTGCCCAGAGCACAGCCCTGAACCACCTTCCCCCCACCCCAGGGTGAGGGCCAGGGCCACCTGAACCGGAAGAAGACGGTCACCATCCCTTCTGGCAGCATCCTCGCCTTCCAGGTGGCCCAGCTGGTTATCGGCTCTAACTGGGGTGAGCGGGGAGTGGGGGTCCTCGGAGGCCCAGGCTAGGGGCAAGGCAGAGCCCCTGGGAGGCTGAGCTGCTCAGCTTCCGGGGCTGGGGGCCCAAGCCTGTGCTCCGGTGTGTGGAAGACTGATGCAGGGCCTCAACTGGGCTGGGCACCCCAAGGGGTGAGGGCGAGGCTGGAGCCCGGATGGCCCCCACTGTCTTGTGCCTCCTCCTGTCTTCTTCCCTTCCTGGCCACCAGATATCTTCTTCTTCCCGGACAAGAAGCGGAGAACTTTCCAGCGCCCGGCAGGTGAGGCCATGGACTGCCTGCATCAGGGGCCCTTGAGGTCTCCTTGCGTGCTGGGGGCACGGGCCAGACACCCTCACACACAAGAGGGACCCGGCCTGCCAGTGTTGGGGTGATGGGCCCGTAAGGGCCCTACACTGGCCAGCCCTGCCTCCCTCCCCTCCACTGTGTGTCCTCAGCCCTCAAGGCCCCCAGTGGGGAAGCCAGCAGGTCACCACCCCCTCTACTCGCCTCTGTGATGAAGTCAATCCGAAAGCATTGCAAGCTGCAGACCGGTCAGTGCCCCCGGCCCCTTCTGCCGCCAGGCTGAGCCCGCCCATCCCTGGGGGCAACTGGGCAACACCAGCGTCTGTTCCCACAGACGGGTCGGAGGAGCAGTGGGCCTTGGTCACCGAGGACTGCGCTGGCCTTCGAGCGGAGCTGGAGGACTGGGCCAGGGACCTGGGGCACCTGAGCAGCGGGCTGCAGCGGGAGCTGCTGGGGGCCCTGGGGACGGTGCTCCGGGACGCGCGGGCCTTGCAGGCGCTGGAGGAGGCGGTGAGCAGCTGGCCCGGGTGGGGGCGGTGAGGCCTGGGCCAGCAGCTCACTGTCCCGTCCCCACGCAGCTGGAGGAGGGGCTGCGCTGTGGACTGGTGGAGCCAAGGGACGGGCCAGAGCGCGCCGTCCTTGAATGCCTGGTGCTGCCGTCCCGAGAGCTGGTGAAGGAGCTGGCCGTCCCCACCCTCTACCTGCTGGGGGCCCTGGCTGGTGAGGCCCCCGGGGCGGGAAGGGGATGGGCAGGGATATGGTGCCCCGCATGGGGCTTTCTGGGTGCCCTGACCTGCGGTCTCTCCCCAGCCCTGAATGAGCCCCAGCATCTCTTGGTGGCCCAGGCACTGGAGACCGGGGCCCTGCCAGGGCACCTCGAGCTGGTGAGAAGGCGCAGGCTGTGGGGGCGGGCTGGGTGTGGCAAGGCATGGCCCCAGGGCCATCTGGGAAGGTGGCATGGGTGGGCGTGGGGTCCAGGGCCTCAGGACTGAGGACTCCCAGGGGCCGCTACCTGACCGTCCTCACCTTGTCCCGGCAGGTGGGGTGTGTCTTGGAGCAGAGCTCCCCGTGGCAGGAACCTAAGGCTGTGTCCCTGTCACCGGGTCTCCTGGGGAGTGGCTGGGGCGAGGATGCCCCCACCTGGGTCCTGCTGGAGGAGTGTGGCTTGGAGCTGCAGGTGGACGCGCCCCAGGTGCGCTGGCAGCCCAGGGCCCAGGGCCGAACATGCGCGCTCTACGCCGCCCTGACGCTGCTGCTGCGGCTGGGCCAGGCGCCCTGCTGACCCAGCCAATGCGGCTAGGCCGGCGCTCTAGGCCCGGTCCGCCCCGGCCCCGCCAATGGATCTGACCGACAGAGCAGAGCGCCGGCATCAAGTTACATTCCGTTCTCATTTTTATTGTGGTGAAATACACAGAACAAAAATTTGTCATTGCAACAATTTTTACCCTCCGTTTCTGAATTTTCTCCTCAGCTTAATGGGAACAAGTGCTCTTCAAGCAGGAACCCCCCGCCCCGAACCACTCATAAACTTTGGCCCCTGTGCCCTCGCCTGATCTTGGCATGTCCCATGGTGGGCTCACAAAGCATGTCTCCTTTTGGATCTGACTGACTTCTCCTCGGTGGCATGGCGGTTAAGCGCTCGGCCGCTAGCTGCAGTCTGAACCCAGCTGGCAGCTTCGCAGGCTAAAGAGCTGGCAGTCGGCTCCCACGGAGAATTCAGCACAGGGGACCGTGCGGGGCGGCTCGGCCGTCACGCGGGGGCGCCGGGAGCTGAAATGGACTCAGTGGTGCCCGTCAACCTAATGTCCTCAGGTTTATGTGTGGCATGTCACGTATCTGGTGGCACAGTGCCTAAGGCACTTGACTGCTAACCAGAAGGCTGGCGGTTCACACCCACCAGCCACTCCTTGGAAGGAAGGTTGGGCAATCTGCTTCCATAGTGATACCACCTCGCAAACCCAAGGAGGGGTCGCTATGAGTCAGATTCGCCTCCACGGCAGTGAGTCTTTTTTTTTGTATGTCACGTGTCAGGCTTTGTTTCTCATTCCAGCTGAGTAACTGAGTTTCTGTTTTCCCAACTGTGTGTTAGTGGTAAAATGCAGAACATCTGAACTTTAACGGTCTTGAGTGCACAGGTCACAGGCACTAGTCTGTTCGCCGCCTTGCGCAACATCACTGCTTCCTGTTCCCAGAGCGTCTTTGTCGGCCCGGAGGAGGCCTCACCCCTCACCCCTACCCCCAGCCCGTGGTAACCACGGTTCTTTCAGCCTCCACATCTGCCCGTTGCACATACTCCAAGGGGGGTCACACGAGTACCCTTTGTGTCTGGCTCCCTTCCCTCGGCACCATGCTTTCAGGGCCTGTCCATACTGCAGCATGTGTTGGAACTTCCTTTTTGTGGCTGCATAATACTCCATCCTGTGACTGCCACCGCTCCTCTCGTCTGGTGGTGGACACGTGGCTGCTGCCAGGCGTTTGAAGCACACGTCTGTGCTTGCATTCCTGCCTTCAGTTCTCTGAGTAGAAACGTGGGGGTGGGACTGCTGGATCACATGACTGTTCCTGCTACTCTGATCATGAGAACAAGGGTGGTGAAGGCGCTTGGCTGCTAATCAGACGGTGAGCAGTTCGAACCCACCAGCCCCCCTGTGGGAGAAAGCAGTGGCTTCTGTGAAGACTGACAGCCTCGGAGACCCCGTGGGCAGTTCCACTCTGTCCTCTAGGGGCGCTGTGGGTCAGAATCGACTCCAGGCAGTGGGTGTGGTTTGGGCTTTGCTTCTGTGAAGATTGACAGCCCTGGAGATCCTGTGGGCAGTTCCACTCTGTCCTCTAGGGGCACTGTGGGTCACTTGATGATCTTAGGTTGGTTTCAGGTTTATGATCAGTCTTTATTTTCACTTTTTGAGGAATGGTCAAACTTCCACAGTGGTCACACCATGTTACAACTGCACCAACAACACATGACTCTCCCGTTTCTCTGTGTCCTCACTAATATGTGTTATGTTTTGTGCCAATTGAGCTTGATGTCCCCTGAGACCATGGTTCTGAGTCCACAGGTCCAACTACTCACTCCCTCCGGGTACCTGGCTGTGGCCAAGAAGCCACCACAACTTTGCCCCTTGTCAGCTTTAACATAAACCTGGCTGTTCTTACAGCACCTACAAATACACATATAGAAATGTTGTCTGCCAACCCTATACATGGTCCTGGGCACACTCCCCCCTGCATAGATACACCTAATAGTTCAGCCTGTCCACCCACCTATCCATCCATATATCCATGTTTGCCTTCACTGACAACACAGTACTGTATGTGCAAAAGGGTTCATCTTTGTTGTTTGTACCTCCCATGTACCTCTCTATGTCTTCCTCTTCTTCAATGCCACCTTGTTGATCACTCACATTTGGTACATTGCCCTTCTATTCACCCAAATCGACACTTATCTCTACCTATTTAACAGTGTTCCCTACCTTCCCCTCCCACCCCTGGTAACAGAAAATTTCCTTCCATAGATAAACCTTTCCTTGACTTTTACAATAACAGACTAATACAATGTTTGTCCTTCTGTGATTGACTTATTTCACTCAGCATAACGTCCTCCAAGTTCATCCA